ATTTTATAGCGAAGCAGATTCTTCTTACAGAAGACTGCACACTACTACCAGAAGACGAAATACTGTTGGTAGAAGACTAGATATTGCTGCAAAAGACTAGATATTGCTGGCAAAAGACTAAGTATTGCTAGTGAAAAACTAGATATTGCAAATGAAGCACATCTACACTACTACTAAAAATCAAATACTTTTAGCAAAAGACTTAATTTTACTGTCAGAAGACGAAATTATGTTGTCAGAAGTTACTATTACTAATGGTACAAATCCCGTTTAAATTTCTGTCCAATACTTGTTAAAATTGCATCCTTTGCTTCCCCGATTTCTATGTTCATTAGAGGTGATATTCCAAAGAATTGAATTTTCTTCATACACTTCAATTAATTCAAATATTTCTTCTTGGGACTATTTTCTTTTAGGTGTTATCTTTAAACGTGTTATATTGAGAAAACTAGCAGCTACTCGCAGCAAAATTCGAACCGTGTTCGGTTTTTGACAGTTACTCTCACGATAGATAAATTGTGCGTGTCCACTTGAGTACAAATCTCAACGTGTTTACTCTCCGAAAGTTTGTGGGGACTCTCTGATAGTTACTCCCAGATGCGTGTCCACCAGAAAATATACTCTCGATAGCATTTCTCGCAAGTGGACACTTAGCTTAATGGTACAAGACCAACTTTCTGTCATATTCGTGCAAAACCATACAGCAATTAGGTACTAATTACTGTCCGAACCCGCCTACTATAATCAAAATTTTGAACATTAGCGCTTACTGTTTTGGAATTGAAAATTAACGCTTATTTTCCGCAAATGCACCATACATGCGATACATCATTGGAAATCTAAAAATATGCTCTTTTCATTAACATCATAATCAAGTATAGTTTGTATTTAAAAAAATACAACTTTGTGTTGTATCTCAAAAATCATCAAATATTTTTAAAATGTTTCAACGGCTTAAAAAAGTGTCTTAAGAACGTATCAACCTCATTTCTCTAAGTTCAAAAATAAACGAAATATGAGCATTTTTTGAAATCACGTTAATTTGACTTTTTGGCTATAATTTAAAAACAAAAGAAAATAGAGGTTTGGTGTTTGCGGGATTGGGTTAGTCTCGAAAAAAGAAACCGGAACATGGCACCTACTTTTTTCGTATCTCTTATAGTTTCTGAGATAGCCTATAATAACACCCAAATTTGCTCACCCTGTACATTAAGGCGATGTACTTGTTCATTGACCAATAAACGTATATATTAATACTACGAATTCGTGTTATTGATTTTTATTATCAGCATAACGAAAAGTTTCATTGATGTAATGATTGAATACTTCGCCCAAATTAAAAAGGTTGTTGCCAGAATTTGTATACATTAATTTCAATAAATCGGATTTGTAATATTGATAAATGGATTATAGAGACACCAAGAAAAATCTATAACATTTTCATAATATCGATGAAAATTTGTGACAATGAAGTTGCTATTAATAAACAGCGTTTATTAATAATACGTACAAAATTTCTTTCAGTATAGGTGTTTTACATCTAATCGTAGTAGACGTAGTATGTTTTTGTAAGATAATTAACAATAAATGTGACTGTGCCGAGTTGGTGGAGTTGATTGGTTTGCACGTGCCACCGAGACTTTTGCGTTTTTACTTTTTTGTTTTTATTCCAATGGCACGTGCCAATGCCTTTCATTTTTCTCCACTAATGAGAATAGCACGGTCAGCTGATCGGCTTAAGGTTGACATCTTTCAGCATACGGTTCCTAGATTTAAGGCTTTGGTGACGAATGCTGTATTGATCTCGTCGAGCGAGTTGTTATAAAAGCACCACCTTGTTAATATGTTCGCCTCCCTTTCTGTTTAAGTATTAGTTTAGGGTTGAGTTTAGGTTTAGGTTAAAGTTTGAGGTTGAGTTTGAGCTTAAGTTTTGTTTAAATTAGAGATACAGTAATTGGGTTTGACCAATTCTATATTCATCTATAAATAAATAATATTTGAAAACATTCATATAAAGATGAACACATTGTAGATAATCATTAGATAATCATTTAAATTGATTTATGTCGAATTTGTTTTTAAGAATTCCAATTTTTTAATTGTTTTCTACGATAAAATTTGCAGTATTTTTTTATTGTTTACTCCGTTAATTTTTTAATTGCATTAATGTAAAATCCCTAGTTTCTCAAACTTTCCCCTAATTTACAACAATTTCATAAAATTAATTTCATTTGTGATAATTGTTATACGATTAATTTTTCATGTATCAGTTGTATGCGTCATCATAAAACCCCAAAACTAGTTTCGATAATTGATGTGTCGAATAAACAAGTATTGGTTTTCCTCCTGTCGTTTCAGTAGTCATGTTGTGCGTATGTGATTAAATAAAAAAAAATTAGTGAGAGCGGAGGAACACGACGAATTTTGTCCTTGTTTGTCAGTAAGTGGCCTTTAGAGGAATATTTAAATGACTTCTCAGGTGTCGTTTGTATAAAATAATTCCGAACTGGAGAGCACGATTCAGTGTTGGTGATAACTTCGAAGAAGATAGATTCATTATTACCTTTTTTTTGTGTTCAGTAAAATCTTAAAACAATGAGGTAAGTGAATGTGATAAAAAAGAGAAATTAAAGAAAAGTGTTTAAATAATTTTGAAATTTTCGGGGAGTGCTGTTGAAATAGAAATTTTTAAAAAAATTCTTATTTTAAAATTTGATGTCGTCATAAAATTTCCCGACGAATACCAAAATAGCAAACACCACTTAGTAATCGTTTTGTATGCTAAAAGGATACATACACAGATTATGTATGTATTTGCTCACGATTCAAGATGAAACATGACCTTAAATTTTATTACATTATCCTTTATCTATTTCTTTATTACAAAGTATCTAAATTTATAGAAAAACCTAAATTCTTATTTTTTTAATATTTAAAACAATTGTTTTAATTTCAGTGGATCGAATTTTCTTATAACCTTTTTGTCATTGCCCATAATTTTGATATCTTCATCACCAACTCCCGGATCTGGTTTCTTCGCAGCGTCTGCCGGTTTAAGTGTAAGTTAACCAAAAGAATTTGGACCGGTACAAAGGTTTACAAAGAATAACCGGTTTTCCTTGATGTTTTACGACTTCCCGTTTTTTCAAATAATAATCGTTAATTATTTCTATCGGTGTCATAGCCACCAATTATCTTCGACGGAGCGAACGTTGGAGTTAATTTCGGTGGTTATCATGCTTCCGCTGGTTTGGGAGGACTTTTAGGAGGCGGATTAGCTAGAGGAGGACTTCACGCGGAAGCCGGGACTGGTTACGGACAGGAAGCAGCTGCAGGACTCGGAGGAAGTGTTGGAGGAGGTTAAAAAAATTTTCATCTAAAAATATTTATTATTAACATATTGTTTTTATAGCAAGTTCCTCTGGAGGTCTTTATGCTGGTGCAACGTCAGGTTAATAAAATAATAATACTTAATCAATTACGTTTTAATAAATTAATTTTTTAGGTGGTTCATTTTCAGCTGCTGAATCAGGATCTGTATCGGCATCTAAATCTTCATCAGCATCTTTTAGTTCATCTTTTAGCGGTTCTGCAGCTAGTGCTGGAGCAAGTTCGGGTGCTGCCGTTGTAACGGAAGAAAAAGTACATGCTCCACCTAGAAAAACATACATTGAGAGAACTGTCATTCCTAATTATGTAGAAAAAACAGTTCAAGTTCCTACTTATGTTGAAAAAACCGTGAGAGTACCAACTGTAGTCACCAAAAAGGTTAAAGTTGAAACTGCCCCAACGATTATTGAAAAAACCGTTGAAGCACCTCAAGAACATGTTTCTGGTGGTTATTCCGGTGGATACTCAGGAGGATATTCAGGTGGGTATTCTGGTGGATTCTCAGGAGCTCTCTCAGGAAGTGCTGCTTCTTCAGCTTCTGCTTCCGCTTCGGCATCTGCGTCTGCATCAGCATCATCAGCAGTAAGGTAATTTATTTCTATTTTTTAATCTAACTTTTTTAATTAATTAGTTAATTTATTTTCTGAATATTTAGCGGTGCCGCTTCAATGTCTGCAGGAGGAAGTACAGTAAGTGTTGTAAAACAAGAAAATCCAGATGTATATAACGATAATTGGTAAATGATGACGGTGCAGTGTAGTTTGTAAAGAAAAAGATAATGAATATCATTTTAGGGGGTATCATAAAGCTTCACACGGAAGTTTTTCAACAGGAGGAGGATTATACGGATCGGGTGGTGGAGGTTCAGCTTCGTATTCTGTTAGAAAAAGTGTTAACAGACAAATCATAAATGACATATTTAATGTACGTAAAATTTTATCCAAAATTCAGTTATAGTACATTTACATTCTTAAAATCCTTCTATTCTTCTTCTAGTTTTATATAGCCTCTAGATGAATCCCTGAATTTTGGAGATTTATTTTACAATCTTTGTGGAATTCATTTACTTAACTAACATTTCATTTTCAACTTGTGATTTATTTGTATTTACTTTCTATGTGTATATTAAGATGTAATACTCTTACTTTATAGATCCCTATTCAAACGTTAGGAGCAGTTAACAAATTGGTTGGAGGCCTCGCTAGCGGAGCCAGCGCAAGTGGATCTTTCGCCGTCAATAAATACGCCTATAAAAAATAAAGACCCCAGAAATGTTTAATTGACATTAAAATTATGGTATTTTAATTTATTTTTATTTTTCGGTTTTTGTAAGAAATTTTGTAATGATTTTTTTTTAATAAAGAATTACTTATATATACATTTATTTTCAAAGAATTTTGGATTTTATTGGTTTAGAATAAACTATACGAAAAAGTTATTGACTTACTCGCTGCATTTTACATTTCATTACTTTATAGTAAATTTCAAGAAATTTTAGAAAAACCAATACTCTTCTAGCCACCTTAGAAATATACATGTATTCCTTCAATGAGAATGCTTCGTTCTGTGTCAACAACAAGAGAACAATAGATGAATGGTATCAATCTGCTTTCTTGAGTGGGCCCGAAACTGCTGATGACGCTTTTATATAAGAAGACGACCCATATACGATAATATCTCAAGACAAATATTAAAAACCCTGGATTTAAACATCCACTTTTACATCAGGAAGACCTTCAATTTTAGTGTGGCAAGCCAACACTTCCCAAAAGATAGGAACACCACCATTATTATTTGTATCCCCAAGAAAGAGTCTCTCTATCCGACCCAGCAAACTATCGTTCTTTTCCACAGCTGCCAGTAATAGATAAACTGTGTAAAGCACACCTTAAGAACAGGCTGCTAGATGCCGTCTGGAAGAAGATACTATCGTAACAATTCGATTTCCAATCGGCAAAATCAACATCCCATCCGCTGTCGATTCTGGTTTCAAACTTCCACGTGGCACGCTACGAAAAACGCCAATCCGCTGCAGTGCTCTTGGATATCCGCAAGGGTTTCTATTTGGTTCCGCAGCTTCTCTCTACAACAAGGATCTCTAATTTCACCTTCTTTATACGTATAACATCGTCTACCATGATATATACAACGATAACCCAGATATATTCAACCTGAATACATATACATTGCTCTACACTGAAGACTCAACCTTGGTCTCACTTGGTCCGGACATCTATATTTCAGTTCGAAAACTCCAATCAGTTATTGATGCCTTCTTCTTCTAACACATAAAATCCACATAATAACATACAATATTAGAACAAGAAAAACACCTAGAAAAGTTACAACAAGAACTTAAAACTATAAAAGGGGATTCCTATAGGATATGGTATAGGATTCACAGTAAATAAAAGAAATCAAACATATGGTGACCAAATACTGTACGATCTCCGATAGAGACATATATAACTGATTGTAAAACTGAACAATAGATACAAGATCCAATTAATCAACTGATATGCACCGACAACTAACGCAAATGATGAGACTATAGAGCATTTCTACGAAGACATAACATACACCAGAAGCCTATAAAACACTTTTTACACCATAATCACCGGAGATTTTAACGGTAAAATACGGAGATTTGGAGAGAGGAACTCAAGGGTTTTTCATTATCAGCGACGCAATTTGACGAAACCATCATGCTCGAACTCAACAAAGAAACATACCAAAATGAGCTAAACAAAAAACTAGAACCACTAACCGCACTAAACACCAAAGATATGCACAATAACTAATGGCGTAAGAACAATAACAAAAATTATATATAGCAATGTTAAAAACATAAACGAGACTTGAGCCAGAAAGTGTACAACTAATGGAAAAATGAAGAAAAACGAAAAGTGTACAAGAGAATATTGTCAAAAAGAAAATACGAACTAAGAGAATACAAGAATATGAAAATACGAAGAACAAATTTAGAAAAAGAAAAACCGAACATAACGAAAATAAAGGATAAAAATGTGAATATAACCAGAGAGAGAATAGGAATTGTAACAGAAATCCAAACATTCTATGAAAAGCTATACACTTCTGCCATACCAAAACCGGAAATTGCGGTTAGAAAGGTTCTAAACGTCGTTCAGAGGACCTTCCCGAAATATCGATATTCGAGATTAAACATGCACTTCGACAACTGAAGAACTAGAATTCTCCAGTGAAGATTCTATAACATCGAAAATGATAAAAATAGGGGGTAGTACCCTTGAGAAAGCCCTAAAATTGCTTTTAAAGAAATACCTACTAAACGGGAAGATTCTCGATTCATGGAAAAACGCCGACGTCATACCTATTTATACACAAGAAAGCAGACAACACAAATATTGAAAATTATTTACGTATAAGTTTATCCTGTTCGTGCTCCTTTTCCAGAAATAAAACTGCAATTGTATCCATTTCTCCCACATCAACCTGCAAATATCTGGGAATAACTCTTGACATAAACCGAAAATTTTCTGCTAACGCCATTAAAGTAAAGATGAAAGTTAAGAACCGCAACAAGCACGTTAGATTCCTAACATTCAGAGGTCGCAAATTATCAACTGAATGTGCTACACACATTTATAACGCGCTATGCAAACCAATCATTGAATACGCATTGATTATCCTTCATGACGCGCCAAAAGGATCTAAGTACCACCTAGAAGTTGCAGAAAGAGCGGCGCTAAAAACAATTACATGTATTCGATATCATCAAAACCTACTCTTAAATTCTAGTATCGAACTCTTCTACGCTTACAAGCTTACAAGTTTTATTGATAGCTTGGGAGGCCAATGCCTTTTCATATATTTACATTTTAATATCTTCTGGACCATTACATTGATTTGAATATTTTTGGTCTTAAGATAATAAATAGTACCTTTGATATATAATTTTTATTTATTTATGCTCTACCGGTTTCGGCCGTGGCCATCTTTCAGGAGCGTCTGCAGGCTCCTCGTTCAGAGAGGGATAATTTATATTTTAATTTTAAAATTAGATTATGGTACTTTTAGGGTTTTCTACAATGGCTTTTCTATGAGAGTGCAATATTCTTATGCATTCATCTTCTTTAAACTAGTGATTATTTTCTTTTAGATGTCGACCGAAGTTAGAAGTGTCTTTAGTGAGATGTTCTTTGACTCTTTTTTCTAAGGTTCTTACTGTTTCGCCTATGTAATAGGGGTTGCATGTGGAACTCGATATCATCTACGTAACCAGTCGTATAAGTACACTTTATAATCCACACTTATAGTTTTATTCGGGGATTTACGATTTTGTCACAAACAAGTTCGTTAACCCTTATAATGCGAGATTTAATACCATATTCTTGTTTAGGAGACATGATAATATTTATTAGAAGTTTGCAATTTTACTGTAAATATTTAATTTACGGCTATTGAGAAGTAGTGACAAAATAATTATGTATAATAATACAGAATACATAATAAATATATTATTATATACTACAATTAATAATAATACATATATTATTTAATAATTATTTATAAATTATTGCTGTAACATTCAATACAAGCAATTAGTTGATGATAATTACAAGTTTATAGATAGAAATCCCTCCGAAATCAATTCTAATAAGAACTATAATAGTAAATTTTCTAAAATTTTTGTTTGGTTTAACTTAACCAAAAATCGACGAGCAAGAAGAAAACGATTTGAATACTGTTCATCCATATGAAGAATGATCTATTGTACCCCGATAGATATCGTTATCAAATTTTACCGTGCAGTAGAATGCCCTTAACGAACATTAATACCTTGCTCGGTGAAAGGTCATTCAGATCCTTTGAGGAAATAAACTGCGATCTAAAAATCGCAAATCTGATACAGTTAACAACAGGGCAGTGGCATAAAACATGCTCAACCGTCTCTGCTTCCTCCGCACATAGTCGCCATTCAACATCGTCGGCTAAACCCAACAAGTTGAGGTGTGCTTGTAATCGGCAGTGCCCAATAAAGACACCCATTAGAACTTTTATGCTGTTACGAGCAAGTCCTAAAATATTCCCGGGTTTGACAGTGGTGATGTCAATAAACACCTTAGCATGTCTCATTCCAGGAGAATTGGTCCACAATAGGCGAAGTCTCTCTTCAGCCCACATTCCAATCCTATGTTTGGCCATCGCAAATGACACACCAACTGCTTGTTCTGGCACCGCAAACGCTTTAGCGCTGCCCTCTCGTGCTAGCTCATATACCGCTTCATTGCCAGCAACCCCAGAGTGACCCGGGACCCAGATCAGAGAAACTCTGTTATTACAACTCAGTGTGTTTAATATTCTCTTGCAATCATTTCACGGCTTGCGGCGCCTGGAGGGCGGCTTGACTGTCTGAGAAGAGTCGTACTATCATGTTCTTCACCCCTCTCTTAAGAAGGATTTTAGCATCCATGTCAATAACAAATACTTCCACCTGGAATACAGTACCCAGGCTGTAGGCTTGTTTAATTCGAGGTGTTTGGCAGTATACTCCTGCTCCGACTCCTTCCAGCGTTTTTGATCCGTCTGTGAACAAACCAATATCTGCCTGAACCAGAGAATTTTCATTTTCGTTCCAGGACTGCCGTTCAGGCAGCACAATCTGGTATCAAACATTAATTACTGATCGTGATCTCGCCAAATCTGACGGCATTTATAACACAGTATGTATCATGCTTATAATGTCTTCAGCAGTCCATTGGTAGGACATGTCGGAACAGTTTTGAGCATGTTGCTTAAATCTGTAAATGGTTGTCTTAGCCACTTTCTCTATATGTAAAAGCAGAGGAGATAGGCCAAGCAGAACCTCCATTGCTAGAGTTGGCGTTGTGCTTATCGCACCAGAGATTGCCAATCCAGCTACTCGTTGAATTCGTGAAAGTTTATTGATAACTGATGTCTGTCGGACTTTCCTATACCAGGCTGCTGCTCCGTATGTGATCATAGGTCTAACCACAATCACATAGAGCCAGTGCAGTCTTTCAGGTGTAAGACCCCAATTTTTTCCATAAAGACTGCGACAAGTCCACAAGGATAGTCTAGCTTTGTGCAAAACTCCCTGCAAATGTCCATTCCATGAGAGGGTTTTGTTTAGGATTACTCCTAGATATTTGACTTCCTTTGAGAAAGGAATTTCTTCACCTTGGATAGTTGGGCGGATTACTCCATCCAGCCTTTGACTCCTGGTGAAGGGCACAACAATTGTCTTTTGCGGATTTATCAAAAGATTCTCTCCCTTACACCAAGCGCAAATGGTATCTAGGGTCACCTGGAGGACTTTAGATATCCTCGACAAACAGGTTCGTTCGACCATGACGATAATGTCATCAGCATAAGCTTGTATTTCTACACCAACGGCTTCGACTATCGCAATCAGATCGTCAATCAAGAGGAACTAAAGCAGAGATAACACCCTTCCCTACGGACAGCCACCTCTAAAGCGGATCGTATCAGCGTGGAGTGAAGTAGAAACTATTCTACTATCAAGCATATTGCGGATCCAACCCGCTATAGTTGTTTCCACCCCCCTGTCAAGAGCAGCTCTTTTAAGAGATTGTGGTATTGCGGTGTTGAACGCACCTTGTATATCCAGAAACGCACAAAGCAAGATTTCTTTATCCTGCAGCGTCCTGGGTACTCTACCAACTAAGTTGTGTAGAGCCAATTCTGCTGATTTTCCCGCTTGATAAGGATACTGGTAGCGACTCAGTAGATCAGATACCAGTGGCACCGTACGCATATAACGTTCCAGAACTTTTTCAAGAGTTTTCAACAAAAATGACGTTAGGCTGATGGGTCGAAAGGCATTAGGACTAGGGACCGAACGACCCGGTTTAGGTATATAAGATACCCTTACCTTAGTCCATTCTGCCGGTACATATTTCCAGGCGACACTCGCTCTGAACATTTTTACCAAAATAGGCAACAACAGTGACCTTCCTTGCTGTAACAAAGCAGAAAAGATAGCGTCTTCTCCAGGCGATTTGAACGGCATAAACATTTGAATCACCTGGTCGACGGATGTGCAAGTGACGACTTTTCTAGCCACACTCCAATCCGTATTTGAGGGGCGCTTTGTCATGCAAGAATAGCCCGCTGTGGCATTATGAGCCCTCATCATTAAGCTTCCTGGGAAGTGAGTCTGCATGAGAAGCTCTAACGAGGCTACGCTAGAGTCCGTAAAACTACCGGACTCAAGAGTAGCACTACTCAACAAGAGTAGTATTCTCTGTTACCAATATAATCCCTGAAAAACAAAAATTGCATACATTGATCCCTTCAAATAGATTACACAGGCCGACAAAAATTTAAATGTTTTCTAAACCAACAACTAGACTATACTATCCCGAAGGTTTTTCACGTTCTAAATCCAAATTTAACCTCAAAAATGCTTCATCACGTAAGGTTTTCAAAATATCTTAGCCAAAATATGTTAAAAATGCGGTTTCTGGTCGTATTTGTGGTTATAGTTCACATGAAGGAGTTAAAAAAAAAACAATTTTTTTTAGACGTTTTGAAATTATTACCCTTCCCCTTTAAAACTCTTTTTCAATTACTTAAATATCTTTTTTCTTCTTCGAGATATCATCTGTTGAAATTAATAAGTACATCGGTTTGCTCTGCCCTTGATAAACTCATGTTGAGTTACATCAAGTTAGCGATGTTGACGCACAGTAAAACATATATGCGAAAATGTGATCAAATATCTAAAAATGAAGCTTTAAAGTTGAAATTTTTAACCATGCATTTATCTTTTAACCAGGAGGTATTCAATTGAGAAACTGGACATTCAAAATCCAGTTAATTTTTATGAATTTATTTGGTTTGTTAGCAAAGTTGTAGTTTTAATGGGAAAACTATAGCAGTATTTACAAAAATAAAATGATTGCTTACGAGATTTATTCATTCAAAAAGAGACAATTTACATATTATTTTTTATTTAAGCTCTATAGCGTTTTATAAGATGAAAATCACAACCATATTGGATTTTCTACAAAAAAATTTTGAAACGATGGAATATTAATATAAAAAAATATGAGGCGGAAAGCTTATTCTTTAGTGACTTTTTTGCGGAAACTTCGAAACACGTCCTTATCGCAGAACCATTAATGAATGGATTAAAAAAATTTGTGGAATGTTACAACATACCTATGAGAAATTTAGTTAAACCGTGGGTACCTACATCTATTTGTACTACTTGTAGATTAACTCTGATTAATTGGAACGATATGAAAAAGTAAGTTGTCATTACACCAACCATGTGGTACGAGCCTGAGGATCACAATGAAGACTGTTACTTCTGTGCCTGTGATATAACAGGTTGTAAAAAAAAAATAAAGGAAACATATTATATTCTAACGTACAAAGCGTAACACCAGCCAAGAAAGGAAAAATAGCGAGATTAGACAAAGTACCACCTAATAAACATGAATGTTGTTTGGAAGAAATGAGTTCTATTGAAAGTGAAAAGGACAGTGATTATGAGGATTCTGTTAGTGCCAAAGACCCTGAACTTTTTGATCAAGATTCATTAGATGATCTTATTCGCGATCTTATTCTTTCTAAAGATTCAGCTGAATTATTGGCTTCAAGACTTAAAGAGAGGAACATGTTGTTACCCGGAACAAAAATTACAGCGTACAGAAGAAGAGATGAGGAATTTCTGAAATATTTTTCTAGTGAAAATTCCTTAGTTTATTGTAATGATATAGAAGGACTTATCAATACATATCAAGTAGATGTGTATAAGTCCGATGACTGGCTTCTCTTTATAGATTCTTCTAAAGAACGCCTTAAAGCAGTGTTGCTCCATAACGGCAATAAATACGCAGCAATCCCTATTGGTCATTCCACCAGGCGAAAAGAATCATACGAAGACCTTCAATTTGTACTCGAAAAAATCAACTACAACATCCATAACTGGCTAATATGTGGTGACTTTAAAATGATCAATATTTTGGTTTGTTTACAATCAGGAAATACAAAAAATCCTTGCTTTCACTGCATTTGGGACAGTCGTGCCCGAGAACAACATTGGATTAAAAAAAAGTGGCCTGAAAGATTTGATTGGAAAGTTGGTTCCAACAATGTTGTTTACAAGAGTCTTGTTGACACAAAGCGTATTTTGTTACCTCCACTCCATATCAAATTAGGCTTCATCAAACAATTCGATGGAAACTGTTTTAAATACCTTAAGTCTGCATTTCAAAATTTAAGTAATGCTAAAGTTAAGGAAGGTATTTTCGTGGGGCCTGATATAAGAAACTTAATGAAAGATGACGATTTTATAAGAACAATAACAGATAACGCAAAAAATGCTTGGTTAAGTTAAGAAGTTGTACAAAATTTCCTGGGCAATCATCGGGACCCACAATATAATAAAAATACGTATTTATTGGGTTTAGGTGTCTTGATTAACAGACAACTTCGCTTACTGAGAAATTACTACGCCTTATTCTGACACCAGTTGTCATTATTAAAGAGAAGGCTAAGAAAACTTTGACATGGACTCCGATCACTCAGCCGGTATACTAACTTTAAGCGAAAATATAACAACAAGGACAGCCGGAGTTACTCGTAATAACAAAAGTACTGACTTGGAAAGCTTTTTGGATTGACTTCCAGAACAAAATCATTTGTGTAAATTATCCACATGAGATCATAAAACTTATAAAAAAAACGAAGAGCTAGAAAAAAATAGTCGAGGGATTCCTTAGACAAAACTTTACTTCTACCACACTGTTTTCATTCAGATTTCATATGGTAGTGTATAGTACCATATAAAATCTGAGTGTGTACCACATTTCAAATTTCATTCAGTTTCAAAATCTAATTTTGATGTAATCGGTTTGAATGTAGGACGAATAAACGAAAAAGAAATTTAGATATAATAAAGACATTTCCACATTTTATACCATGAATAACATTTACATTGATAGTAATGATGTTTTTCGTAAGAAATTCAGTATTGAGATTTAATAATAAAAAATCTTGGATCAATTTATTTTTAAATTGATATCTATTCATTGAACGATCGTAAATTGACTTGATTAAATTTATCTTTATAGAATATATAATTTTATCGATAAACAACCAATTTAATTGAATTTGTGACTTCTAGATATGTATTATGATAAAGGCACAGATTAATATTTTAGTTCAATTTATGTTTACACTTTCAATTTGTTTGTATAAAGTTAAAAGTCGCAATGTATATGAGTGATAGTCCATTCTTATATCCGTTAATTGTCATCGCTACGATCTTGGGAACGGTAAACGAATTGATTTTTAAATTTTTGTATTATTCCATTTTGTATATACTTTTTTACAAAACATAAGCTACAAGGATTAACATGGATGATCATATCGTTTTTGGTAATAATTCTATATGCTGAAACTTGGATACCGGATAAAGATTCTATGGGTTATTTTAATAATGGTGCTTATTTTCTACTCTTTGAAAGTAAGATAACAAAAAATTATTATAATAACAAAAACAAAAATAAAATATTTTTTTATACAGGTCAATTTAATCCTCCAGTTGAAGATTTAACTAATTTACAATCTATAACGGGATTTGTTATAGTTTTTGCATGCTTTTATTTTGTACTTTCGCTTTTATGGACGATAAATTCATTGGCTTTAGCTCATAGTAGGGAACTATTTAAGAGTTTACAATCAAGAATTATTTTTTATTATTCCTTTAATTTTTTTTAAGGATATTTTTGGAAACTAAGCATCAATATATCTCAAATAATTCGTCTTTGGTCGTTCTTAGCATTTATAATAACAATATACGATTTAGTTACAATGTCCGTATTAGCATACGATTTAGGAGTGATTCAAAATAGTACTCAAATTGTAACTATATTGCGTTTATATTAATTAATCTAATTGTATATAACATTCTGTTTTGTTTTTAGGATGATGCAACCAAATTTTTATTTAGCACAGTAATGGGAGTTGCAATGACCATAGCTGGACGCGGTTACATTCTTTTAGCAATCAATTTAATTGTAGCATTTATTTTACCGAGGGCTCTTTAAGTAAGTAATTCAATAAGAAAACCAGTGATTGATGTTTATTTTAAGAAACTAAAAATTGGATTAAAACTAATATAAATTGGATTTTTTAGGAACAAATTGGTTTATCTTGCCCGAGCTCAGATTTTACTTGAGACTATAAATAAGTGTTAAGAATCACAAAAATATTACAGATAAATCAGTACCGAAACTCTAATCTAATTACATTTATTTTTTACCGTATAATAATAATAATAATAATAATGCCTTTATTAACCCTTACAATTAGTGTATAAGTATAAAAAAAAAACAAAATATAAAAACGTAATAACAATAAGAAATAAGTATAATGTTACAAAAACAAAATTACAACAAAATTGCAAGGGCTAACAGGTGGCTGGGTCAGACAACTCCACAAAGTAGTGAGGTCTGCTCTTCCCCCAGTCCCCATGAACACAACATATTGCTTCTAAGTAAGTAAGTAGTGAAAATGAATACAGCGCACAAGACAAAAAATACAAAAAACAAAAATTGAATGCATGAATAAAGCAAGTAACAAATAAAAATTAAAATTTTACTCTAGAAAACCTAAATTGATTCCATCTGCCGCTCACAGAGATATCGCTTGTATTTATATTTAAAACTCGACAGGTTCAATATTTTTAATGAACGAGGAAGAGTATTCCAAAAGTTTGTCACACAATAAGTGAAAGAATTCCGAAATGAAGCCGACGCGTGACGAGGAGCTGTAAGTGCATCTTTTCGACGAATATTGATATTGTGTATGTCAGTACGATACGATATCTTCTTGCTCAGATAAACAGGTGTTTTTTTTATTTAAAATTTTAAAATAACCACCCACATTCTTTTAACTTATGTGAAATTCTGCAGTACTTTCGAATTCCATAAATTAGTCTTAAGCACCCATTTTGGACATACTGCACCCGCCTTCGATTGTCCCCAGTTATGCAAGCATCATAGACCGAGTCACAATGATTAAAATTGGATAAAATCAAAGAATCAGTCAGTAATAGTTTACTGTTCTCATTTAATACATGCCGTTATGGATAAAGGGATTTTAATGCGCAATATGATTTCTGTAGTAACTTCTTTATATGTGAATTAAATTTTAAATCATCATCTATTAACAAACCCAAATTTTTCACAGTGCGTACGTGTTGTAGTTCTTGATTATTTACACAAATTTTAAGATTGTCATCAACAAATTAGATCAACATTAGATTTGCTGGAGTTTACTTTTAAGCCATGCGCCTCAGAAGTGTTAACAAGTGATTGCACATCAGAATTTATTTTGACAGCAGCAACATTAGTCTCGGTGTGAGGAAATGATATTAATAACTAAGTATCATCAGCATAAGCATGATATTCACAATGTTTCAAGCCCCTGTAGAACGTACTAGTATAAACGATGAATAACAAAGGACCACATATACTTCCCTAAGGAACTCCTTTAGAGACAAATTCTGGTTTAGATAATGAGCCTTTAACTTTCGTATGTTGCCTTCTGTTCAGAAGATAATGTTTAAAAAAATCAATTGCCGTCTGACCGAGACCAATGTAGTGCATAATGCTTAACAAGAAATGATGATTTATCATATCGAATGCTTTGGAATAATCTAATAATATCATTGCATGCATATTTCCCTTGTCGACACTCCGCAACACACCGTCCACAACATCCATTAGTACAGTATTGCAACTATGACCCAAGACAAGTATGGCATCAAGACACAACGAAATCATAATCAGAATATAAAATATAAATTAAAAGGTCCATATCTGGGAAAGTTGAGAAATGTTAAAGCATTTTCTTAAGTATTTTCAATATAGTTTGTATCAGACAGATTAAATTTGGCAAACAATGCAATGTTATCATAAGAAATCGTTTAAGATAATAATAATAGAATAGAACTTATTCGTGCAATTACAAATTTGTTGTACACCCATCAAGTCAAAAAAATTAATACATACGGTACCGATACACTACAATTAACATTCATTACAACCGATACTACCATGTCTGACAAATTAGGTTATATATTAAAATCTTCCTCTGAGAGGTGGCGGTCCAGAAAATCCGAAGAGGAGTAAAAACCCGTTGTCAGCAAGAACCGCTTGACTGCCACCTTAAAAGCTCCCACCGAGAGCAGCGTTAACGATGTCGGCAATTTATTATATAATTTAAGAGCAACAAAATCGGCACACTTTTGTAACTTACAGAGTCTGCAAAAGTTTGGCATTAACTATTTCGCGTATTATAGCCGTGCACATCACTATGCATAGAGAATCTTCCTACGTTTCTACGTACGTACAACAGGCATTCCTGAATATATAATGAGGGAAACGTTACAATCTGATAACTGATAAATGAAGTACGGCAAGAATCTCTGTAACTCAGACCACAGACCACCCGCACAGCACGTCGCTGTAATCGGAAAACTCTGTGCCACCCAGCACAACCTCCCCACGCCAATAACGCGTAAGACATAAGCGACTGGCACAAAGCAGAATTCACAACACAAAGATGTTGCTGCTCAAACGTCCACACAACCTATCTATGTGGTGTTTCCAGTTTAACCCTAGGATGCATACACCGGGCCTCTCAGGCCCGGCGAGATTTTAGTTACTCATAATTTTCTTAAAATAATTTCAATCGGCTTGAGCATTTAGATATGCTCTAAACACGTCTTTATTTAATACACACCTGATTCAAAAATGTTCAAGTGTAATTAGCAAAGTAATTAGTTACTATAAAACAAGTTTCAACTTGTTCATTACACATTTGTCAAACACTGCTGCGCGGAATTGTGCGTGTCTGTGCAAGTTAAAACGTGCATTACTGTTGGATGTATAAAAGTAGGTGCAGCTGTTTTTGATTCAGTTGGAATAGAAGTTGGATTGAGTGAACTTGTGAGATACATATGATAATGGCGTCAAAAAAGAATGTAAAAACCGTGAGATTTGGTGACCCCGGTTATGAAGAAATATTGGTGCAGTGGGCAGCTGAATGTGATGTGTCAGAAGCAGAAAATGATGACACAGAAGATAGAAATTTCGAATTGGTTCCTGACGAGTATTCTGGATCCAGTTCTGATCATGGTGACGCTAATTCAGAGGATGATGTTGATGATATTGGTAAGCCTTCAACGAGCGGTTACATTGCTCCAAGTGGTCTGGTATGGAGTTTGGAACCCCCAGCAAAAAAATAAAACTAGCAAGGAAATATATTATATGGCTGCAACACCAAAAGAAGCGTTTCAGTTATTTGTAACTCCAGTTATTGTACAAGAAATTGTGAACTGTACTAATTTAGAGGGCAAACGTGTTTATGGAGCAAAAGGAAAACCGTGAAAAGATGTAACTGTTGATGAATTTCTTGCATTCTGTGGTTTACTTATTCATGCGGGAGTTGACAGAAGCTGGGATGTTCCTGCGCGAGAATTATTTTGTTATGAATTTGCCAATCCTGTATACCGAGCCACAATGTCCATATTTCGCTTTGAAGAAATACGAATAATCGTCAGATTTGACGACAAGAGAACCCGGAATGCGCATTTGGAAATCGATAAGTTAGCAATGGTGTCCTACATTTGGGATTTATTCAATCAGCAATGCAAAACCTGCGTCATACCTGATACTAATGTAACTATCGATGAACAACTCGTTGGGTTTAGAGGTAGATGCACATTCGTTCAATATATGCCAAGTAAACCGGCAAAATATGGACTTAAAATATTTTGGATGTGTGAATCTACGTCTGGTTATGCTTTGGATGGTTTAGTTTATGTTGGTCGCCAGCCCGGAGAACCTCCACATAAAAACCTGGGGCTTGAAGTAGTACAATCTCTTGTGCGTGGCATTCATAATTCTGGTCGCAATCTCACGATAGACAATTTCTTCACTAGTGTTCCGCTAGCAACTTATCTGTTGGATAAAAATATTACTGTTGTGAGTACACTACGTCAGAATAAGCATGACATTCCGAAAGAAATGAAAGCCTCAAAAGATCGTGCAGTCTACTCTTCATTGTTTTGTTTTCAAAATAACGTATCCATGGTAAGTTACGCACGTAAAAAGAACATGCACCACGACGCATCTATCAATGACGACGCTAAGAGGAAGCCTGAAATCATCTCTCATTATAATAAAACAAAGGGCGGTGTTGACATCATGGATCAAATGGTGTCGACATACACGTGCAAGAGGCAAAGTAAACGATGGCCTATGACATTTTTTTTCAATATCATTGATGTTGCAGCACTCAATGCATATATAGTCTTTACGAAAGAACATCCAAACTACAACATAGGAGTAACTGACAAACGCTGAATGTTTTTGAAAGATTTAGCGAAGGAACTACATATGCAGAGAAGATGTACTAACCCTAACCTACGGCGTACTGTCCGGGAGTGTATGAGCAGATTTATTGATATATGTGGTCCGATATATCTGGTTTTTTGTCTGAGTCCGCACCGGCGTTTCGAAGCGTGAAAACAGCTTCCATACTTTTGCTTTTATTTAAATTTAATTTGTTACAGGCAAACCACTGTTCAGCCTCCGATCGCGTAATCTCAGATAAGGCAAGAGCATCCACCAAATTTGTACTTTTGTTAATAAGTGTGGTGTCATCTGCGTATAATATTACCGATGCACTAGTGATAGCATTCGGCAAATCATTTACGTAAATAAGAAAAAGCACCGGTCCTAGTATCGATCCTTGGGGAACCCCTATAAAAATATTTTTGGGTTCTGAATAATATTCATTGCAATAAACTACTTGCTTTCTATTAGTGAGATAAGATTCTATTAATCTAGCACTACTTTCATCAAAATATGTTGACTTTATAAAAAAACATTTTATACAAAAGTTATTTAATATTTTATTTGCCATAATAAGACTGCATTCAATTGTTTATATTTCAGAAAACAAATGAGCAACGAATAACACTTGAATTTTTTTAAATGGCAATGTACCCTTTTGTTAGGCTCATTTTATAGAGATTACTTTTCTCTTTACGCTGACGAAAAATTTTGTACCCTTACATCAGAAAATTTTTGACAAAAAATTTTAAAATTGTTTCTTAATAAAAATTAATCAATAACATTAACCTAGATAATCCAGATCGCCAAGTACCTCGAATTATTACCGTAAATTAAAATTATATGGGGTGGTTCAAATTCGATGTCCGAATAGGCTAACTCGGAAACTATAAGAGTTAGAAAAAAAGTAGCTTACATGTCATGATCTCGTTTTTCGAGAAACTGCTAATGCCAAAAACCTCAAAGCGCTATCGCCTTTTGTTGTTCCCCTAGAGGCCAAAATTGAAAATATCGTAAAATCAGCAAGTGTAATTATCTTGGTTATTATTATAGGTGGAGTATCTCTGTACATCTCCAATAATTCGAGGTAATCGAACTTGATAAAAACTTGATACACTAGTCATCTCTTCTCAAGTCTAGTGCAGAAAAGTTGTGACGTTGCAGAAGGGATGCGTAATCCGTTCCACGATCCGGGTATGTACTGATCCTCGTTGACGAGGGGACAATCATCGTGAAGAAGATCAAACTGATGATCAGTATTTGTCAGAACCAAATCCAATAGACGATTGTCACAAGTTTGATAAAGTTGATACCTACCTTTAAGATATATACTACATATATTCCATACATAATGGGCACCCTTTAGTAGCAGTAATTAGAAATATAAAAAAACGTAATAACCCTTACTTGAAAAATGAAATGCATGTTTTTACATTTTTTTGAATTTGTCTATGAAACTTATCATAAAACATACATATGAAATAAAAGTTCATAAAAATTTGTTAAACAAAACACGAGAAACATCAATTTCAGAAGTGTGCATCGGGGTCACTTCTGAAATTGATGAAATTTTAGGACGATTTAGAGGGTGCTTTTAGCTATTTAAATCGACCGTAAAAACACCGTAACCCTTACCTGAATTTGATATAGATAAGTGAATTTGATGAAACTTTAGAACGATTTGGAAGCTGGGTTTTTGATAGAAAAAAACTTTTGATGGAGACAGATCAAAAGAGTCTGCGTCAAATCGATCTGCGTTATGCTCATTGGGGTCAAATTCACCCCCAAAATCCGCGTCGCGCTATATACATAGACAGTCTAACAACAAATTTTTTTCTCGAAAACTGTTAAGGGTTACGGTGTTTTGACGGCCGATTTAAATCGCTAAAGACACCCTTTAAATTGTTCTAAAATTTCATCAATTGCAGAAGTACCCATCATGGTCAAATTCACCCATAAAGTCCTATCCGCGGTTTATAAGAATGATTTTTTTTCTCGAAAACCGTTAGGGGTTACGGTGCTTTGAAAATTGATAAAAATACTTAGAACTGTGTTCTATTATGTGGTAGAATTTGGTTTAATTGGAAGGTGCCTATCAGGGCGAAAACATCCCTTTTTCAGGGGTGGGAGTTGAAAAATGGGGGTGATAAGCTGTTCTTGAGGGTAAGAGTGACCTGTGTGCGAAATTTAATAATAATAATACTTTTATTCACCCATCAATAATAAGAAGAAAGAAAACAATCAATAATAACAAATAAAATAATAATAAAAAAAAAAGTAATAATAAATTCTAAATATTAACATAATCATGTAGATGAACCACAAGGGATAGTTCAGGTGAGTGGTAAAACCACTCTCTGGTTTACAAATATCCCTTGACCACAGGTATGCTAAATATATTAATTACAAGCCTAAAAATATAAAGGAAAAAAAATCAAAAACAAAACAAAATAAAAGCAAAATATAAAACAGTTCATTCAATAATGTACGCATGTGCATAAAATTACAAAACGCTCATAATCATTAAGACTGCTCCTCAAACAAATTCCGAAACATGGCGTGCCTGAACGCCGCTGTACTCAAACCCCGTAAACTCTCCGGAACGGAACCATAAAGCGAATAAATATTATAAGTAAAAGATCTTTCAAAAAAAGTGGTAGAGTGAGCCGGTGGAGCAATTAAATTTCGGTTCCGGATATTGATGGAATAAATGTCACCAGGAAATCTAATCTTCCTCAGCAAATATGGCGGATTGCCAGTACTCAGCAATCGGTGAAAGAAACGGAGAGATGAAAGCAAATAACGACTAGACTCTATCATATTTACGAATGCCGTAAATAAATCTAATACAAGCGTTTTGCAGTCGTTGGATCCTATTCGCGGTAAAAGCATCAACACAGGGCCCATATACCGGCGTACAGTAGTTAAACAGTGACAAAATCAAACACTGACAAAGCGTTTTCTTCATAGCAATACTGAGAACAGTTCTAAAAGTATATAAAACCTTCAGTTTACAGAAGGCAAGACCAATTATTTTAGATATATAAGAGCGATATCTGAAGGAATTGTCCATCAATAGCCCAAGATTTTTAGCTTCATTAACAAAAGGAATTGAAAGATCATTAATATTAATGTCAATATTTTGACATAGGTTTTCAACCTTCTTCTCATTACCAAATAGTAACACAACACTTTTTGAAGGATTTAACTTTAAAGAATGAGCAACGGAAAATGTATTCAAACTACTTAAGTCCTCATTAACCTTTGCCATAGCAGTAATAAATTCTTCTCGGGCAAAATGCAAATATACTTGTGTGTCATCCGCATACATTTGTATCTGACAATTTTTAACACATTTAGGCATAAAAGCAGTGTATATGCAAAATAATAAAGGTCCTAAAATGGAGCCCTGCGGTACACCTCTAGTTATATTCATAAAGTCTGAAACCTCAGTGACCTCGCCTCCCATTCGCACTAACTATCGCCGATTCTGAAGATAAGATTGCATGAAACCTAAAAAATCATTACTACAACCTATATTGCGTAATATAGCTAACAAAATAGAATGGTTGACAGTGTCAAAAGCCTTACTATAGATCAAAAGCACTAATATAGTGAATTTATTATCATCCCTAGCCCTTATTATATCATCAGTAACATTTAATAAGGTAGTGACCAGGCATAAAACTCGACTGTCCAGCAGGCAGCATGTTATATTCAATTAAAAATTCTCTAAGCTGCTTATTAACAATTTTTTCTAAGACTTTACTCAACATTGGTAATATACTAATAGGGCGCAGATCTTTAAACTCAGTAGGTGAGGTCACCTTAGGTAAAGGCAGTACAATCGCAGACTTCCACAACTTAGGAAAATAAGCACTAGCAATGCAACTATTTATAATATGAGGTATCAGTTGAGGAACCACCAGTTTCAACATAGAAACAGATACCCGATCATAACCATAAGCCCCACTCTTAATGGCAAAAATCAAATCCCTGTCTCCTGCTCAACAACTCGCAACTCAAATGGAGAATTAGTCCCATTTAGTGAAATAGACAAGTAAAATTTAATAGTGTCAGCTAAATTATCACTACTGACCGGGACACCATTGATGAAAAGTTAGATATATTAAATTGGCATCTCTTAAATGAGACGGAATATCAATTTTTTTATTAGGAACCACATGCACTTTTTTAAACGTTTTCCACAAGGTTTTACTATCAGTGTGTTCGTAAATATTCAAAATAAGCCTTTTTTTCATTATGAATCGCGAGAGTAGTGTAGTTCCTCAACTGCTTATAGTATTGCCAGTGAGCGTCCAATTTAGTACGTTTATATCTATACCATTTCCAGATCAATTTCGCTGTTATGAAATTCAATTTCAAACTTACGAAATTGGATTTCACACAAATGAAAATCATTTTTGCACTAACGACAAATCAATTTCCTACTAACGAAACCCAGTTTCACACTAAAGAAACTGAATTTTTCTTTTTCGAATTTTAATTTTGTTTTTATTAAAATGAATTTCATACACGTCAAAATTAATTTTAAATTAATGAAAATCAATTTAAAAAAAATCTAGCATACTTACACTTGGAATCTCACCTAAAGAAAGACAATTAAT